TCCTCCTCTTCCTCTCTTTACTCCTCCTCTTCCTCTCTTTACTCCTCTCACCTTAGCTCCTCCCAGCTTGTGGGGAAAATTTCCCCACTCTTTGACCTCTATGGGTATGCATACCACACACTTAAAATAATACTTAAAAATATTTTAAAAATAGAATCTTTTATGGCAAGACATGATACAGAAAACTATGTCTATACAAGATGAAGTGACATATGGCAGGACACACAGCCTAGTCACAACAGTGGAGTAAATCAGGTTTTTTTGTTTGTTTGTTTGTTTTGTTTTGAGACAGCATCTGCTATGTAGCTCAGGTTGCCTCCTAATTAGATGAAGCTGACCTTAAACTCAAACTCAAAATCCTCCTGTCTTAGCCTCCCAAGTACCAGGAAGTCTCTGCTACATGCAATTTAGAAGTTGACTTTTTAAAGAGCAAGTTTGACTTGCAGAAGATTCCGGAATGCTAAGGCTTTAGTGCAAAGGAAGTGATTTGTGTAACAACCTAATCTTAAGCCAGCTGTGGCTTCACTTAACCAACCTGTAAAGGTAGGGTCCATGTGTAGTCAGTGAGTTGGTGTCTTGTCTCCACAGGAGATAGATTTCTACTTTGTCTCTCTTCCACAGACTCCTGTCCATTTGTCTTGTCCCAAGTACAACTGTCTCTCCTGGTACTCTTCCTGGATCTCTCCACACTTCAGGAAAACAGCTACTTCCCAGCCCACCTGGAAGGAGACTTAGATTCTGGTTTATGTTTTCCAGGTTGCTTATCTCTGACGGGCCCTGGCTCTGTGTCTGGCTACGTAGGAGGCTCTCTCCGTGTGCAGTGTCAGTATGGAAAATCATATAAGGGCTATTTGAAATACTGGTGCCGAGGACCACATGTCAAAATGTGTAGAACTATTGTAGAAACTGACGGAAGTAAGAAAGAAAAGAAGAGTGGCCGAGTGTCCATCAGAGACCATATTGAGAACTCCACTATTACAGTGACCATGGAGAACCTCAGCGAAGATGATGCTGGGTCTTACTGGTGCAAGATCCAGACTTCCTTTATCTTTAATGCACGGTCACGTGACCCATCGGTCCGAGTAAAGGTTCATGTTTTCCCAGGTAAGACTACTCTGGCTCCAGCCACGGAGATTTTAGGGAGTATCTGCTTGCACTTGGGACATGTGTGGGCATTGTCTTTAAATGTGCTTCTGAGTGTTGTGGTCATCTCAGCCAGGTTGAGAAAAGAGTGTGTGACAGACATGGAGAGAGATGGCTGACCTTTCAGCCATGGCCAGGAGAGGGGGTGAGGTATAGGTCACACGAATAGTCTGACACCTGATGTTTCTAGGAAGAGCTGAGGAACAACCTATGTCCTCCTTAGTGGCAGAATTGAAGTGATCTCCAATTGCTACCGTATGAAGGAAGCTTGGTAACCCTCCATGGCCTCTGATAGGATCCTTGGGCCACAGGCTGAGCTGTGTTCCTTCACACTCTCTCAAAGGCTTCTCACCAGTCACTGGGGTGGGGCGTGGGAGAGGGGACGGGGAAGGAGACCGCTGAGAGACTTCTCTACCCTCCATCAGGCAGAGTCAGACAGGGATGAGAAGAAAATATGAGATGGCACAGATGACCCATCTTTGGGCAAGAAGGCTCCTTCAGCCCTTGAGAGCCCCACCCAGGATGTGGCTGAGGTTTGACTTAAAGCCCTTCTCAAAACCTCCGCTGTGAACATACGATTCTGTGTGACATCAGATCCACACAGATACTCAGTACAGGCTTGGGGACCAAGCAGTGACCTGGTGTGTATCTTTTTCTCCAATAGCCACAACTCCCATGGAGACCACACTCCCTGCCACAACTGCTACCCTCTCACTAGTGAATTCTGGACAGAACCGGATTAGGACTAGAGCGATGTTCATCTTCCGACTGTGGTAAGGACCCAAGGCCTGGTGAAGATCAGTAGCCGTAGGATTGTGGGGGTCAGCAGTGGTACCCCGAGGGGTGTTGGGGAGAACTTACTATTGAGTGATATCCCCCCCGACCCCGATCTCAGATTTCACATTCTGCAAGCCTCCGTGTGGATGCCAAGGATGGAGGAGGAGCTCAAGGGACACAGGCTTAAGGCAGACTCTGTGTTTAACAGATTCACATAGCCTTCCCATTCCTCCCTCTCTGTCCTTCCCTGCCGGACTCTAAACTTGGAATCCTAGCTCGGTGTCTCTTTTAAAAGTTACTGTTGAGGGCCAGGGCGGTGGCTCAGTGAGTAAAGTTGCTTGCTACCAAGTCTAAGAATCTTAGTTCAAGCTCTGAGCCCCGCAATAAATAAATAAGTGTAACGGTCATTGTTCAGATGGGGTTCTTGCTCCCAGGAGCTGCTCATGAGATACATAAAGGAATAGGCTCAGCTCTGGGCTGAAGTTCACATTTGTTCTTCCTTCTTAGAGGTACTCAGAGAGGGTCAGGATGTCTCTAGGCCTCCGGGGAGGAAAATTCAGGAGCACTAGTTTCAGGAAGTCAACTGATGCAGCTTAGTTACTGGGGTACCTACCTAACATGCACACAGCCCAGAGTTTGATCCCCAGAAATGCATAGATTCGGTGCTGTGGTATACACATCTGTAATTACTAGCACTAGGAAACCAACAGTAAAACAACAGAAGTTCAAAGTTGTAAGTACATCATAAAACCAGCTTGCTCTACGTAAACTCTGCCCTACCGCCAATAAAGTCATTTAATAACAGGGAAACAGTGGGTAGCTCTGGGCCATGCTTTTAGAAAAGCAGGCCTAGCTAGAACCCTTTCCTCTCTTCACCTATCACCTCTCCATAACAACAGACTGGGGAGGAGGATGGGGAGAACAGGGGAAGATGTCCTTGAGTCAGTCCCTAGTCTGATTCTGGATCATTTGGGCTTTTGAGGCAAGGCATTAGGAAATGTGGGAAGAGACAGGTAGATACCGGATCCTCTCCTTGAACGTATCTTCCATCTTTACATGCCCGCAGGTCCCTGCTCAGCAGCGCCCACTTCCAGGTCCTGGTCTTCCTGAAGCTGCCTCTGTTTCTGAGCATGCTCTGTGCTCTCTTCTGGGTGAACAGGCTTCTGGGGACTCCTGGGGGAATGTACAGTGACCTGCCCAAGAGCTATGAAGTGTAGCATCCCAGGAATGCCCTGGGAAGGACTCAGCCCTGCAGACTGTGTGAGAGACACATTGGATTCTGGATCAACTCTGCTTGGAGGCAGCAGTGCCTGGGTTCTGGACTTCACTGTTCTGTGTCTCAAAGTCGGGGGATCTGATTATCAGAGAGTCTTGGATATCAGACTCCTGCAGTGTCCTCAGCATAAAAGAGAGAACAAAACTGGGAATAATGGCACATGCTGTTAATCTTAGCACCGGAGAGGCAGAGGCAGGTAAATCTCTGTGAGTTCAAAGCCAACCTGGTCTATATAGTGAGTTCCTGGACAGCCAGGGCTAAATAATGTACTCTGTTTCAAACACTCCCAAAAGAGGGAACAAGACTCTACTGGGCCCTATGTTAGAGGTCTGCCTTTCTCTTCTTCAAATTTCATGGATTCTGTTCTCATGTCAGCTCCAAAGGGTAAGAATCTTCTAGAAGTTTCTTGAACAGAAGTCTAGCCTCTTGATCTTCTCTGAGTGCCATAAAAGCATCTCAGGCCATTATCTCTGGTGCCAACAATCACCTCCTTACTACAAAAAAGAGGTTCCTGGGGAACATGGCTCACAGCCTTTGTTTAGGATGTCTAGAACAATCCTAAAGGATTTGGCTTCTGGTAGAGCATCCACTGCCAGCTCTCCCAAGCACACAGCATTCTTTGATCCCGTCTCACTGTGCTCACTGTGACCTCAAAGCCTCCTTATGTCTCCAAGACTAGAAAGCATGTGTCAGAGTTCAGCACATGCTTGCCTGAATGAAAATAGCCAATCATCTTGGAAGTGCAGTTCTGTGGTTATCCAGGGCAGCAGTGGAGAAAATGGAGGCGGGTGTCCCTGCATTTCCTAATCTGGGAGGAAGTCTTCTGTGCACAGCGTTAACTGAGAGTCCATCTTTTCTCACTTAAGAAACTGGCTGAGATCACCTTGAGGAAAAACAGGTATTCAAAGGCAGGTAGGGTGCTAGTGGTGAGGGGATGCCAGATCTGGGCATCCACTAGGCAACCTCAGCTCTGAAAAACGCTGATTGCCAATTTCTTCTTTGCTATTCTCTGCAGAGAGAACTCAGAGGGTTAGCCACAAGTGCCACCATCTCCATTCACTCCATGTATACAGGTTAGACCTCCTTCTCCTCCCTCAGACTCAAGCTTGTCTTGAGCTAATGTTGCCCATTTCCTGAGAGAGGATGTATTTATAGGAACACCATAACTGGACATAAAGACTCGGGGAGTATCTACCACAGTCATAGCTGCCAATGGAAGCTCTATCCAAAGGCAGAGCACACTGTGGACTCAGTTTCTCGGTGTGAGGCATGTCTGTCAGTCCAGCATGGTGGAGTTTTTCTTCTAGCAATTCAGATGGAGTGTGTGGATTCAGCGTCAACTCTTGCTTGCATTTTCCTTTAGAATATTGGATAGATTCGAGTGCACCAAGGTCCTGGATGCAAGCTAGGAGATTTTACCTAGCCAGTGGCACATCATGTTCAACAGTCAGGTAGTGGAAGGTCTCAGTCTGTGAGACGGAAGTAAGGGGTGTTGCTGACGGTTGTGGGAAAGAGAGGGGCAGGCTTGGATGGTGCAAAGCCTGTGTGATTGCATTACCAGACAGAGCGGGTCAACTAGGAGCCTAGAGGTGTGGGCTCGTGGAATGTTCAGGGCTAGAGAGAAAGGCACAAGGAGAGATTAACTGGCTTCTAAGAGGTAGGTGAAATTACCAGGAGAGTGTTCAGGACCAAGGACAGAGCTCCGAAGGTGAGGTAAGGATGTAAGGTAAGCGTTCAGGACCAAGGACAGAGACGGCATGGGGCTCTTAGCCCACCAACCATGCAGGTTTCAAGATGGGAAGTGACGACACAGTCCTGTGTACAGCACGCCCGCCATTACTCTGTTCTCAGCAGTTTTCACATGCATTCGTTTACATGTGTGTTTAACTATGCAGCTTTGTCCTACACATGCATCCACGTAACGACCATCGCAATCAACACAGGGGATTGCTCCACCATCCCAAGTCCTCCTTCATGCCGGTCTGCCTCGTTACTGCCCACTAGAGACCACTGATCTCTGCCCGACTCTGGGTCTGTCACTTTGAGAATGTTCTAGAAAGGGAAGCATTTTGGTGGCACATCTTTTCCTCCTCTGTTAAGTACAGGGCCTCTGGGATCTACACAAGCAGATGTTCTTGGAAATCATCCATACCTCTTTATTACTGAGCAGTATTGTATAAATTCATTACAGTTTGTTTAACTCCTTGTTCATTAAAGTACTTGGGTCATTTTCTAATTCAAATAAAACTGTTACCCACATTTCATACGTATTTTCTTTCATACGGTAGTGCATTTTTATGTCTCCAGTGTGTATGCTTGCACAACTACTAAGTTATATAGTAAGTATATGTATAGTTCTCTAAGAAATAACCCAACTGTTTCTGGCATGGTGGTGTCTTATTTTTCCATCAGCAAAGCATGGGAGATCTGGGGTTTTGTGGGTTTTTTCTACTGTCATTATTTCTTTAAAGGTATTTGGATTTATTTTATGCCTAGATGTCCTTAGCCTGCAGATGTGTCTGTGCACCATCTGCATGGATGCCTGTGCCTGGGAGGTCAGAAGACAGCACTGGATTCCTGAGACTGGAGTTATGGATGGTCTTGAGCCTCTGTGTGAGTGCTGGGAACCAAATCAGGATCCTGTACAAGGGCAGCAAGCATTCTTAACTACAGAGGCTCGCCTCCTGACCTCATTACTTCTTGTTCATTCCAGATGTTCTGATAGGCATGTGGTTCTGAGTTTCCCAAGCGACTCATGATATTGCAAATATTTCTGGTGTGTTTCATTTCTGCTCACACATCGCCTTTGACGGCATATCTGTTTCGTGTCTTCTATTTATTTTTGAACTGAAGCCATTTTTGAAATTTTGTTACTTTTTTTTAAAACTTAGCATGTATGCACACACACGTGTGTATCACCGTGCAAGTTTAGAGGTCAGAAGACAACTTGTGGGAGTTGGTTGTTTTCTTCTACCAAGTGGGTCCTGGGAACTGAACTCAGGTCTTCAGCCTTCGAGGAGGGTGCCTTCACCTGCTAAGCCGTCCTGATACACTTCTGCTTCAGCCACCCGAGTTGCATACTGGAGACATGCACTGCCATTCCTAGACTAAATAAATTAAACTTTTTACTGCTTTCTTTTTAGAGTTCTCTGCATACTGTACACAGAAGTCTTTGTCCAAAGTTTATCTCAATCTCTGGCTTGCGTTTTTATCTTCCTTATAAGACAGGTTACTGTGAAAAAAAAAGTTGTGTGTTTGTATGTGTACAGCACATGTGTGCGTGTGTGTGCACGTGTATGTGCAGGCACATTTGCCTGTACGTGCACACGTGGAGGCCAGAGCTGACATTGATTGTTTTCCTATATTATTTTGTAACTTATTATCCTCTCACAGAATCTGGAACTTTCTATCTGAGATTGACTGCCTAGCCAACAAGTCCCCAGCAGTGCCCAGAAGTCCCCTATCACCTTCAGTGCAGAGGTTACAAATGTGTGCCACTGAACCCAGGTTTTATGTAGGCGCTGGGGACCTGAACTCAGGTCCTCATGGTTACAGAACAAACACTTTACCCATGAGCCATATTCCCAGTCAAAACGTTTTAAACTTTGACGACATACAACTCATCAAATTTTCTTTTAAACATTATGATTTTGGGGTCATGTATAAGAAATCGTGAGTTGTCTCATATTTGTTCCAACTTTTTAAAAGTTTTAGAGTATCCTTTCCCTCTCCCTCCTTCCCCCCTCTCTCTCCCTCCCTCTCTGTACCTCTCCCTCCCTTTCCGTACCTCCCTCTCCCTCTCCCTCTCCCTATCCCTCTCACTCTCACTCTCCCTCTCCCTCTCCATCTCCCCCTCCATCTCTCCCTCCCTCCCTCCCTCCCTCCCTCCCTCCCTCCCTCCCTCTCTCTCTCTCTTTCGTGTGTGTGTGTGTGTGTGTTTGTGTGTGCATTCAGAGGCCATAAGAGGGTGTGAGCACCCTGCTCTGTTGCTCTCTGTTTTATTTTCTTGAGACAGGGTCTCTCCATGAACTGGAGCTCACTTATTTATTTATTTATTTTTGCTAGGCTGGTAACCAACAGGCCTGAGTTTTGTAGGTTTTTAAAAATATATCTATATATATCTTTTATATCTCACAGTTTTTTTTACAATATTTTTATTTATTTATTTTATGTATATGCATACACTGTCAATGTCTTCAGACACACAAGAAGAGGGCATCAGATCCCATTACAGATGGTTATGAGCCACCATGTGGTTGCTGGGAATTGAACTCAGGACCTCTGGAAGAGCAGTCAGTGCTCTTAACTACCGAGCCATCTCTCCAGCCCAGTTTTGTAGTCTTTTTAAATATAACATTTAAGCTCATGAATCATGATTTATTTTGAATTTCTTGTTCAGCACAGGAGAAGGGAAGTTCTAGGCATTTAGTTTTCTAGCATGTGGATATCCGATTTTTTTCAACAGTGTGTATTAAACTTACAATCTTCCATTGTTGTTTTTTTGTTTTTGTCGAAAACAAGTCAAGCACATGTGAGTGGGAGATGTGTGACATTATCCAGAGGCTGGGAAGAAATGAAGCCACCAAAAGATGAGGTCTGAACCAAAGACAGAGCCCTAGAGTGAAACTTACAGACAATTGCCCTTAGCAAAACAGAATGTGTCTGTCAGTTTGTGCAGAATCTCAGGCTGCAGTCTGCAACCTCTGACTACAGGATGTGTCAGAGTTGTGGATGTGTGCCTAGGGACATATGGTGCTCCCAGCAGGGCCATACAGTGCTCCCAGCAGGCGTCAGGACTGACCTTCTAAGGTGCACAGATGGACCTGCAGGGATGCGGTGGGAGCCAGTCAGCGGGGCAGATTCAGCGCTTTGCCAGTCTTGTGACTGGGCCCTGGGTAGTGTCACATCTTCAAGTCTTGTTCTTATAATAGTCAATACGATAGGCTAAGACCCTTTTCTATAGTCCTTCATGTCCTGGCTGTAAATTCTTTAAAACGCCTTCCTTCCCTTAAGTCTGGATGTTCTGGGACAGCTTCGGCCAGTAGATGGCAGTGTGGTTCTTGATCTTTTCTTCAATAAGCACTGTGCAGACCGAATCTTAGAGCCTAGTCCTGACTATATTCAGGGTTGGTTGACCCTTCTAATTCAAACTTCTCTGTGCACATCGTCACAGATACACCTACAGGCGAGTCTCCTGGGTGACATCAGATCAAGTTAAGTTGACAGTGAAGATTAAAAATCATAAGTTTTCCCTGTGTGTGTGTGTGTCTGTGAGTGTGCGCGCATAAATGCATGCATGCACTCGTGCGTGAGTGTGCGTCTGTATATGCACATGTGTGTGTGTGTCTTTACAAACGTTCTCCCATGAAAATTCGTTGCCAGAGATACAGTGTACCTATATCTATCTACACGTGCAGGTTTGGGCTGCACAGCAAAACTCTGCCTTATAGAAAAAGAACCAGGGCTTGTGGATTCAGCTCAGTGGGTAGAGTGCTTGCCTAGCATTCAGGAAACCTTGGGTTCAGGCTTCAGACCCTCATAAAACCGAGCATGCTGGTGAATGCATGTAACCCCAGTACTTTGATGTTGGAAAAAGGAAAATGTGAAGTTCAAGGCCAGCTTGGGCTACATGAGACCTCTCCTCAAACCCACACTCTTCCTCTTTCTCTGAGCCAATGCCTGTGGCCCTAGTAGACACTGTGGCAGGTGCCCTTGGACAGAAAACTCCATGCTCTGAGTTCCATAGTTAGAGAAATCCCTGCTGCCCAGGGTGAGCCTTCAGCAATACCCTTTGCCTCCCAGAGCTTAACCTAGGCTACTGCCATGGGTTTAGCCTGGGCTGCCTTGTGCTCCCTTGCTACTGTAGTCACCCTGCCTTTGATTGCTCTCCTCTCCCATGATCCTTTGCAACTCAGTTACCTCCCAGGTAAGGAGTTGCTGTATTCCAACCTTTGTGTCTGTCTCTGCTGACCTGTCTGTCTGCATCTCTCCATGGGAATCCCATCTGTCTTTCAAGTTCATGTCTAGCATTGCATCTAATCAGTACAGGAAGTTCCCTGTTCACCCGGCTGTCCCTCACATGTGGTGACTTGGTCTTCTCAAAGACTGGCATCATCTTCTTCCAGTACACAAAACTGAGAAGTTTTGTCAAGGAAGTCACTGAGAGACGTGAACGAGAGAGACCTAAAGGAAACTCAAGCTGGGCTTCAAGTCCTCTCAGGGAGCTGGCTCTGTCGCCACCAAGGACAGGAGAGGAGACAAGACCATGTGGCAGTTCCCTGCTCTTCTCCTCCTCTTCCTCCCAGGTAAGGAACAGGGGCTTTAGACACTTGCATGTCAGCGGTGAGGGCGACATAGACGGTCTGCCCTGCATTAGGGAAAATCTGCTGATTCTCACCAGCTGCTGACTTCCAAAACAAAAGGCAAGATTTTTTGGCATCTGATGGATTCTGTGGGTATCACAGAAAAACAAAAAACAAACAAAAAACCAAATCGAAACAATTAAATTAAGACAAAAAATTAAAAACAAAACAAAAACACAAAAGAAACCTTCCAGAGATTGTTTCTCAACTCTAGCTGCTCCACAAAACTCGATGAGTGAGTGGATAACTAATTAATTTAAAATGTATTTTTAGTTTTATGTTTGGCACATGCAGCCTAGGATGACCCTGGACTTGGGATCCTCCGGACTCCACCCTCTGAGTGTGGAATTTCTAGCACACAGCTCCATCTCCAGTTACACTGTGAGTTTTAATTGACACAGTCATTAATACTACAGGGGCTGGGTGTGGTGGTGATTGCCTTTAATGCCAGCACTCAGAAAGCAGAGGAAGGTGGAGCTCTGTGAGTTCAAGGCCAGCTTGGTTCACATGGGGAGACCCTGTTTTATAAGGGAAAACCATGGTGGAGTCCAGTATGGCATTTGCACATGTATGTACATGTATGTACAGATGTAACGATCATGTCAGGGCAGCTGGGCTCCCATCACAGCCATTTATCATCTCTTTGAAATCTCATCTATGAGGTATCTTGAAATATTCAGTTGTCAACCATGTTTTTCATCTGTCTCATACAACACTAGAAGTTGTCATTCTCATCAAATGACAGACACCCCTGTGTCCTAACAACCCTCCCTCAATTCTGTAAACACTGTCCTGTCTTCCTTAATGCCCTTCCCAGGCTGAGAGCCACTATTCTGTTCTCTACTCCTTTGAGTTTAAATTTTGTTCTTTTGAGAAAAAAATGTGTCTCTGTGGTATATGTATGTGTAAATGATTGTATGTATGTCTCTGAGCATGTGCACACACGTGTATGTGCTCTCAGGTGCACACATGGCTGCACACATGCATGTGGAAGCCACAGATTGACACTGGGTACCATTCTCTATCACTCTCATTCTTGTTTGTTCAGACATGGTCTCCCACTGAGCCTGGAGCTCACAGAATCCGTCTATCTGGCCAGTGATCTCCAGGATCCTTCTGTATTTGGGGTTACAGACAGCACACACCTCACCTGGCTTTTTTTTCCATGTGTTCTGGGGATCCAAACTCAGATCTTGATTACATGGAAGCACTTCACAGACTGGTCTTTCTCCCTGTCTCCCTAGCCACAGAGAGTAACTTTTTAGCTTCCACACATCAATAAAAATGTGTGGTAGCGCCTGATTTATTTCAGTTCCTCCAATCTCACCCGTGGGCTGCAAATGGCGGAACTCAGTCTTTTACGATGACACTTCATTGCTTCATGCCTCACACTCTGTTATCTGTTCATCAGCATCTGTGTCACTCTGTGCTGTGTCTACTGCGAACACCTTCATGGTAAACACAAGGGGAGATGTCTCTTCGACGTACTCGTGTCATGTCTCTGGGCTGCATGTTTGCTTTCTGTTACTGTGATACAGACCATGGCCAAAACAGCTTGGAGAGGAAAGGGTTTGTTTGGCTGAAACGTCCAGATCACAGTCCATCATGGAGGGAGGCCAGAGAGGAAGCACAAGCAAGGCAGACAGCTGGAGGCAGGAACTGAAGCAGAGAGCATAGAAGAGTGTAGCTTGCTGGCTTGTTCCCCATGGCTTGTTCAGCATGCTTTCTTATACTACCTAGGAGTGACACCACCCCCAGTGGACTGGACCTTCTCACATCAAGAAAATGTCCCCAGTCTTGCCTAGAGGTCAACTTGAGGGAGATGGTTTCTCAATTGATATTCTTTCTTTCTGTATGCTCC